TGAGGGTTCAGCCTCCTGATGAGTCGGTGAAACTCCGACGAAACAGTTTGTTACAGCCCCTCGTTTGTTGTCCTCTTCTCTCTCTCTGCCTACGGTTTACCGGGCAGTTCTGTTTGTGACGATATATATACATATATATGTATATGTCTATTGATGGAGAGAGCACCTGCTGGAAACTGGGTCCAGCATCCCAAATACAAGATAACGATGGCGCATAAGGACCAGCAAGTTCTATGAAGACCGCCCCTGATCTACTCCGCCGAGCATACCCTGACCCCCCTCCCAGACTTCGTTTTTTTTCAAAACGAAAGACCTTACCTGGGTAGGTGGTCCTGCCTGGGTATCCGGCCAGATGTCAAGACCTGGATGTTGACGCAATTTTGCCTTGGGCCAGATAGACCCTTCTGGCCAGAGCTATCGAGGATGTCTTGCCGGACATGACATCCTGGACACCCAGGAGTCCGGCCCTGTTGTCTGGCCTCGTAGGCTAGGAACAAGTACACTTTTCCAGATGTCGTCTGGACCTCGTCGGGACCTCAGTACCATCTGGACACTGTTAGGATTGGATCCACTGCTGCCACACACCCTGGGTGAATCGATCTGAAAAAATATGCATCTGGGTGGACCCACTGGTATCAGGGTCCGAATCGTTTATGTTCTGCCTGTGGTGGAGGTGGTGTGCCGTCTCAATCAACCCCCTGCCTCATCCCTTTCTCTGCTTGGTCGCAGATGGCTGCATTCCTCTTCACCATCCCCGTCTCCATCACGGTCTTGTTTGCAAGCAGACTCTCCTGTTCCCGTTGTTCCTTTGGTTCCACCTTCATTGCCGGAGACATGCTCATCTCTGGTTAGCTACACCACTACTCTTACTGTGTATCATCGACGACGTCGCAGACGGGAATCGTCACTCGCGTCGCTCGTCCAGGGATTATCCTGTTTCTTTATTTGACCCGATTCTCTCTGTGCCTACTCCAAAGGTTGTTGTGGTTCCTTTATTCCACGCGACAATGTGTGCTCCTGTGCCCCGTACAGACAATGCTGCCTCCTGAGGGCAGCCACGAGACCGTGTTTTATTGCCTCCAGCATTGGATATTCACGAATCGCCTGCACAACAGGATAGGATTCCCTCCCAGGGTACACTCCCCGATTCCAAGGGCATTCCCTACTCAGGATGTGGCACCAAACGTCCAGGGATTACAAATTTAGAACGTGATTTGCCGGAATTGCAAATTGGCTCACAAGGCGTCGACCGGTGATCTGAAAATGGCTGACCGGCATCGTTTGGCTGAACAGCAAGCGCCAACCATGATTGTTAGATCGTCCGCGAACAGCGAGCAGACGGGAATCGCTTCCCCTGGAATGGCGGAGATCTGTAATCTCTTGATTTCTTTATTAATGCCGAGGTTCGCCGCCGATCATGATGATGAAGAGGAAGGCGGCCAAAGAGTCCTCTTGGCAGACCGACTGTATAGAGCTCTCCGGGGCTAACACCCATTCACCCAGACTCTCGCGAGGGCCGTTTCTGGTAGCCGTGTTTGACACTTGGCATCTCTGGTGGATGCATACCCTTGCTTGGCGTAGACCACCTGGTGGGTCATCTGCAAATGATTTACCAGCAAACAGCCCGAAGACATTTTGGGCTATCTACAACATCTGGGTGGTGCGCAAACTGTTGGCCAGCAATGTGCACTCAGTCAGACATCCCTCCCTCTCTCTGTGGTCTGGCTGCACATTCTCCACTGCCTGCTTTGTACACTGTTGCACTTTATCGCAAGTACCCTTCAGCTTGCTGCTGATCTGACCTGCCTAGAGGTAAAGGATGGTACTCATACCGGGGAACGAGGCTTTACGAGTGCGGTCTTGCGAGTACCAATGAGGGACCGCCAACTCGAACTACGCAATGCTAAGGCAGGTGAGTGGTTTCATCCTCTCCATGCCACCTCTCTGCCAGCATTGTACATGGACCTGGCAATTACATGACCTTGTACATGCCTCCGGCCACTGGGACAAATGGCACCATCGTCCATGTCGTGACTGATGTACCAATTTATTGCACGCCGTGACCTGCATAGCATCGTGTTTGCGTTCGGAGGCGATCACGAACAGGTTCTCGCCCGAACGCGAACGAGCGCCCAAAACCCTCCGAACGCGAACATTAAAAAAAGTGGGGGGGGGAACTCAGAAAAAATCTGAAAAATCTGCAAAAAATAAATTGTCATTTAATTATTTAAATTTTAAAACAATAATACAAGCAACTTTTGCCTTGGAGTCATGTTTACATTCGTAGCCGAACGTGAGTTAAAAAAGGCAAAAATTGAAAGAAACGAAAATGAAATTTCTTTTTATTTTTTTACGAAAAAAAAATGTTTGCCTGAACATGTTCGCGAGCTGTTTGTGCGAACACACGAACACGTTCGCGCAAACGCAGAGAGGCGTGAACACGTTCATCGTGCTACGCAGGCCGTGACTGATGTTACATAATGATGCCGTTTTCTTCCCACACCAAACGTCTGCACACTCTTATATGTTGAAGATGATTTCTCTGCCCATCTGCTGAAGCAGGACAATGTATCAACACTGCAACCTTCTCATTTGCTCACCTATAAACACTGGTTACACTCGGCTGCAGCCGTTATTGTCTCTGTCGCAATCACTACAATGACATGGTTTCTGCATCCATGTGTGCTGAGGCTTGTCCTCCTTTCCGGAATGCAGGCAACCTCCGCATACGGACACTGTATGTCCATTTCGTGGCCATGGGCGTCGTAGTAAATGCATGGTGTTCTGTGGTGCCTGTTCTTCCTTCATGTTGGCCTCCAACCCACATGCCGTTTGTCAGGAGTGTTTGGTGGGCATGCTCAATTCCCGCTGTCGTGGCAATTGTTATCCCGAGATGGCTCAGCGAGGTCTTCCATGTCCATATCCATCTAAATCCAATTTAATCCATACAATATGCGTCCTCTCGGCGGTCAAAACACTGAGTTCGTCCTCCAGAAGAGGAAGTAGAATAAGGAGAAGAAGAAGTAGGAGGAGCAAAAGAAGGCATGAAAAAACAGAAGAAAATGAAGACGGAGGAGACGGAGAGAAAGAGAGAAGGTGAAGGAGGAGGAGGAGGAGGAGGAGGAGGAGGAGGAGGAGGAGGAGGAGGTGAGAAGGAGAAGGAGAAGGAGATTAAGAATGATGAATATGAACGTGAAACGCAAGTGGTTCTCAAAGCACTGAGTATATCTCCATTCTCCCTCCTCCGTCCTCCAGAAGAGGAATAAGAATAAGGAAAAGAAGAAGTGGCATGAACAAACAGAAGAAAATGAAGACGAAGGAGAAGTAGAGAAAGAGAGAAGGTGAAGGAGGAGGAGGAGGAGAAGGTGAGAAGGAGAAGGAGAAGGAGAATAAGAATGATTAATATGAACGTGAAACACAAGTGATTCTCAAAACACTCGGTATTTCGCCATTCTCCCTCCTCCTCTGCTTCAACTCCCAACCTCTTTTCATATTAAGGAAGAACCTGTCTTCACAAGAAGTGGTATAATAAGTCTGACTCCCTTTCCCAGCATCTGCTTACCAGAATAGAACCAGAATTCTCACTTTTCACTGAATCACGTCTTCCCTCTCGTTCCTCGACTTGGAGGTCAAACGCCATTCAGCCTCCATTAATCCAAAAGTTTTCTTGAAGAAGGTAAGCATCCTTTGTCCTCCAAATATCGTCCCTTGATGGCTGCTGGATGGTCAAGCATCAACATCATGGTCTCCTTGCTTGCAGGTGTCGTACAAAGCCATCAACGTCGTAACTCCTGCCCCCCCCCCC